AAGCTCAGAAAACGCCAAACCAGCAACATCCATATCTCAAGCAATAAATCGTTTCAACCATTTCTCATCTAATAACAACATATGGAGTTCTGCTGTAAGTGCCTAGTAATTACGAACTGAAAAGTGTAGATTATGCAAACTGGATTCGACACGGTGATTAAGTATATACTTTTGGCCGCGTTTATATATGTCGGTTAATTTAGTTTCGATAATTTCCGTGAAGTAGCTAAAACTAGACATTTACCCTTAACTTCGGAATTATTTAATTGCAAACACTTTGAGATTTGTACAAATATAACTTTTCTAATGTCAGTTTTTCACTCGGTGTCAGATATTTATAATTGGGAAAGGTATCATAATACTAAAATGACCAATCCATCTGTATCATATAAATGACTTTTGCCTTAATTAACTGAAGTTTTTAAAGTAGTTGTAACGCATACTGAAAATTTGATAGATTATGAGAGATTTTTTGGAAAGTAAGGAGTGGTTTTCAATAAAAATAATGATACTTCGCGGAGAGTACTTCTACAGTAACATCTACATCCATCAACTATCGATATTCTCTGCAAAGTGAATGACTAATTATAGATAAATTCTGCTTATGTTAACTTATACGCAATCATAAATCTCTTATTCTGTTAATATACTGAGAAAATATACTGCTAGTAATCACATTATTCGTCAGAATTATTTACTTATCTGTTTATCTGCTTTTCTAAAACTAGTCACATAGGATGAACAATTAGTTAAGTCCATCACAAAATTTCTGAACATCACCCATCATTGTTGATTGAGGTACAAATATAAGGAATAAGAACTTCTACACTTGTTCACCCATGGCAAACAACTCATCATGTTCATAAAATAAAGGATTTTGCAATTATTGATCTTATATCACCTAATATACCATATGGTTTATGTATCCACCTACACACACTGTCGAAGCCACTAGGGTGTATTTATGCAAGCAAAATTTCTGCACAAACCTCATTGCTTTTGCAATCAAAGCAACTTCTTAAATTCATTTTACTTAATAAACTAAAGACGTTTACGATTGATCCTCTCTATTTTTATAATTTCAGTAATTTTTTCTCATTTATCTGCTTACTTAATCATTGCTAGCATGTTTCTCTTGGCAAAACCCTGCACTTTCTTGTGAACTGTTGTACTTTTGCTGACGACATAAACTTAACTCACTATTTTGCATATTTATTTATTTAACCAATAATTTCATAAATAAATACGATTTCGTAACCACTGTTAATTTGCCTATCCCCAAGAACTTGATATTAGTAGTCAAACTTCTACATCAGTGTGGAGTTGTTGATAAGTTGGTGACTGAGAAGAAACATATCTTCTTTTAACCTGGCTTTATTCCCAAAAGGAATATGACTATAGTTGTGCGTTCAAATTGTATAAGTAAACTAGTTACTCCAGGTTATTCTGTGAAGTGGCTCTGAAGGTCACTCTAGCAAATAATGAAACAACTAACTAGGTTAATTTACTTATGAAAACATTACCATTTCAGCTAAAACAGAAACCTAACTGCTCTTTCCAGAGGTTGCCAGAGTGGCCTATTCGGTTACCGGATTCCGTGATAGGCATACCAAACAACTTGGTCATAAAATTACAATGTCAGTCACGATAACGTATGTGAAAATAACGATAGTATTGTAATGAATCATCATATTGGTAATGTGTTCAAGCTAATGGGACGACTTTCACTTAGCGCATCGTTTAAAACCAGGGTTTTTTAGCCCAAGTATCCCAAAAAACCATCTTCTTAAATGCTAAAGTAGCCAATCAGGTTTTGTCGTTTCATCTGGGATAATAGTTTTGCTCAAAATGGAAGAATGTAACTGGTTATCTCGGCAGTTGTTAAGGTGACCTTTAAAGTTAACTAAGTAGTCAGTAAGACCTTCGTTTAACCTAAGGGCTTGTTATATTAGAAAGGTAGTGACTTTAAAGGCCACCCTAACAACTAATAAGATGGATAAGAAATTAGACCCCTAAATTTTATGAAATCTGCTTTTCAACGAGCAACTTTAAAGGCCGTCATAACAACCGCTGAAATGACCAACCCGGCTCTGGCATTCCGGTTGGGCAGTTAGTTTATCATAAAATGCAGAAATCCAAATGGTTACTTCCAGTATATAGTTGTTAGAACGGAACCTAGATCCATATTTTGTTTTTGTCGTAAACTGACAGAAGTAAGAAATATGGACCATTGGGTTTCAACCCAGTGAGTCAGTGGTAACGTACTGGCCGCGGAACTTGAAGGTCTTTGGTTTTATCCCTGACTAGGTCATGGATGCATACTGCTTAGGCCAAAGTAGTCGTCCAGTGCTCCCAGGTTTCAAATATTTCTTCAGCTGATGGCAGTTCACAATAAATACTGGCCTGAAATCAATAAATAGATCCCTACAAACTTTCTAAATGAATATATAAATGAATCCAAAGATGTGTACTTTAATCCACTTGTCAAACCCTCTTCTAATAGATACTGGGTGGTGACTGAAGGTGAGATGAAAATTTGGAGCTCTGCAGGACTCGAACCAGCGACCATCGCGTTTCCGGCCTGGTGATCTACCAAATGAACTATGATGCCCAACTGCCGACCAGATTTTTATTACACTTCAATCACCAAGTTTTTTACCCGACTACCATGTGAATTCGTGACTCTTTACTACCGCTCTTAATGTAGTCACATAAAAAAAGATTACTAATCATTCACTGTGAAATAGTCTCTTCTACAAGATGCATGTGTATGTTTTGTTATTCATATTCCCCTTCACTGTAAATACGAGATAATGAAAGGTCACATTTGACATTTTTTAGTCACTCGTTAGTTTTATAAGTACAATATGCCTATGGGTTGGTAAACAGGAATGAATAGTACAAACGAATTTCTCATTGATTTATCGGAACACAGTCGCAATGATTGGTAGTAATGATGGTGATGACGATAATACTAATGCATTAAATCAACCTAGATTGTGTCGTTGTTGTTGACGATGCTAAGATAATGAGTTAAGACTTGTGTTCAAGGTAGGTGCTAGAATCAGTATTTCTGGATAATAATTAGTAACTGCCAAGAGTCGGTTGAATATACTTCATCTCATCTGTTCAGACTATTTGGATTTGGCCATATAAGTAGCTCTTCCTTTTGCAATCTTTCTTAGTATGACCCAAAACCATTTTTATAAAACTTTTGGTTTCGTTTAAGTCGATATGGAAGTGTGGCTATAGAGTGTAGCGCGATTAACGATTTATTTTCCAGCTTTTTGGAATCTGTTTTGGACAGATTCAGTGCCCCCTCGCTCATACGTTTACCTACCTGTCTGCCTCCCCCATATTTAATGCACTGCGATCAGCCCGTTTGATTTCATAAACGCAGTTCCTTTCATTTTCTTTAGGTAATACATCAATAACTTTCATTAAGTTAGAACGTAAGGTATTTATATAATGAAAATAAACTCTTATGTCATATTTGTTTAGAATTCTTTTTATTTCTTCCAAGTTCTTCTTGAGATATAGGATTATTACCATGTTTGTCTAGTTGTTAAGGAAGTCTTTGAAGTCACTTCACTCTAACAGTGACGGATAATCAATTGTGTTTCTTTACTTCATAAAAAGCTGTAGTCGCAGTAGGAATAGAAACATATGAAGTTATTTCTGCAGTTTCTAGGATGGCCTTCAACGCTAGTCGTGGTAACCGAATACAGACACATGTTATCAAAAATACCAGGGTAATTGCCAAAATATAATACTACCAATCATTTTAAATCACGACCTCCTACTTTAAAGTATTTTTTAGTCAACTTCATCATTGTGACCAAAAACACATCATTGTTCGCTCTGATTTTTTCATTCGATCACAATAGAAGGCATCAGTGCAACATCAGGATAAAACTGTGAACAAAACTAGTCTACATCTCACCCTGCTATTGGTCAATCAGTTAGCAATCTGAATTGTTGCTCAACTTCATATCCACATTAGTTTATTTCTGTCACTACGCTTTGACTTAATCAGACAGATATTATAATAAACCGAAGCAAAGAAAACTGAGATGAAACTAAAGGTTGAAATGAAAAGAAAATCCATTATGTTCAGAAAACAAATTATGTGTCCCCTTTGAATTTAGAGGTCACATTACTAGGTACAACAGTCAGAGACCTCCCTACTCAGCTTCTCGGTTCCCAGATCTCAGCTGGTGGAAAGTTACACCATTAACCTGGAGGTCACTTGTTTAAGCCCCACGGCAAATTAGGATTTTTTTCAAAATTCTAAACTTTTATTAGCCAAACTGTTGTAAATAGTCTAATAAGTAAATCTAAATAATGTTCTACATGTAACTTTTCTTCGTCTAAACGTCAAACGTCTAGTGATATATTTGCATTGAATTCATTTATGAAATATTCAATGATAAACTTTTATGCCTTCGAATAACTGAGTCATAAAACCATAATCGAAATCTACTTAACGTTAACAGAAAACTAAGCTCAAGGTATTGTAAAAAGGTTGACTTCATATGTCATCCTTACTTAGCATATTTCTGGTGATTATAAACTTGACAATATGTTCACGATAATAAGTAAATTTTATTCTGATACACTGCTGAAAAAGACTGAATGAGAATCATTACTCATTAGAAGCATAAAAAAGTATGAGTCAATGAAAAGATTTGTCGTGACAGTTATCAGAAAAACATAAAGCATGGTGTCAGGTATTGAGAGCGAATCAACTGGAAGGTTAGACTGGATATCATTTTCATGCTTGTTGACAAGATATATCTGTAACCTCGAAGAAATTCATATTATTCTTGAGATTTCTATCCACATTACACAATGTTACCACTAAAAAAAATAACCACTGACAAATTTTGAATTACACTCATAACTTGATGGTTACAGTCTGTATCATTCGATTACTCATTTATATATCAAATAAAATAAACAGAAATATTATGTTATTATTGTTAGCTTTTTCAACTTACTCTCCACCAAACAATTGCATACCGAGTAATGCAAATATCAGGATGAAAAGAAACAATAGAAACAATAGTGAAATGATGCTACGCATAGAGTTCAGTAAGGAAAGCACCAAATTTCGCAGTGAAGCCCAATATCTAGGAGAGAAATAAAAGGAATTATTGTCTTTCAATTGAATTATGCGGTATATTTCAAGGCCATATATATATATGTTACTTGGTACAAATTAAACATCTTCAACATATAAGTGTTGTACGGCAACCACTGTCCATCACTTGAAGGAAAAGTGGCCTCATACTGAATTTGACTATCTTACATCGCAAACACTTGATCTAGTATATGCTTTACGGATAAAGTTCACAGCACAATTTATAACTAATATCTGTATCAACGTAGTCATATTGCCACACCTCATATCAATACATTAAGATAAAAGTTATAGAAATAAGGAAGAAGTCAATTGGAAGTAACAGGAAGTTTTAAAACAAAAAGGGGAATGGACAGAATAATAAGGAAATTCTGTGCGTTGATTAAAATGAAGATAATTCGTAAATGAATCTGCGCCACTGACGTCATTTCTAAGTCATATATCCCAGAGTATCCAACCATCGATTTCAGTTGTCCCATGAACCCCAACAATGAAGTCTTCATTTATTTTCACGACACAAACCGTCAGTCAGAGATTTTATGAATTGATGCCATGTTGAAATTCGGTCGTTTTTAACCTTCTTCAATTGAAACCTACTTTATCTAGTATTATGCAGCTGGGTAAACGATGACTAGGTATTCTCAACAGATACTAGCTTTCTAACTATAACTCTCATGGATACAAAATATAGGGTGAAACAAAATTAGTTTGGTAGTGATAAGCTACGTAGAAATTCAATAAGGTCTACTATCATATGAACACTTCATCTTTAAAATTATTCTATATATCGAAATTTGTTTGTAACCGCTCAACTTAAAAAGGTAATCCAGTAGTAACCTGCTTTTCCAACTGAATCAGTATGACCAGTCATTGCCAATTTCTTGATCTAGGTTTTGTAGTTCTAGATAGAAACACAAGAGATCTATCTTCACAGACTGGAACCCATGTTACCTATCACTTCAATCGGACCAACAATGAGCCAAATACACTGCGTATAGTTATTTTGAGTAAAGCAATCAAACAGTACTTTTATTTATTATTTATGAATACATTTTGTTCCCTGGGAAATGAATAAATAAATTATTGTTCGTAGTCGACCAGTATCTCAAGATATTTGTGATTACTTGGGTAATTCCTAATTATCCCATGATTCTGTGATATTTTCCAAGAATATTTTAGTGACTTTTAGTATGAAAATAAAGCTAATCTGATAAAGCTGTACCCTAATATTCTCAAAATAGGTTTGAAATTTTCATCAGTTTCATAAGGGCATTATGTCAAATGATAGACTTCAGTGGATGAAATTATCTGTGAAAAGTTGATTTTCTAAATCCGTGAAATCCCACCTGAATATGATATGATAAAAATTACCTAGAAATCAATCAAATCCCACAGATTCTTATTTGAATCATATTAGAGTTCCCTTTAGAATCTCCTTTCAAGTGGGATCTCCAGAAGTTTTATTGAGAAGTTATGATCTGTGACATCAACCTACTGGGATGTGAGGAAAACCATTCACCAATGACATTACAGGTCAACGAACTCAAACCCAGTGGCTGCATGATAAGACTGTCGATGCTAGACCTGAAGGTATCAAGCTCTACCTGTTTCAGGGTTGCAGAGAAACATTTCTGAGAAACTTCAAGCTATGGCGAAACAACTCTCCTATGTTTTTACTACTTAACAGTGTGACTGTGAGCTCAAATCAAGAAACTAAGAGTACATAACTGAATAAGTAAAAGGATATTGGTGTGAACAGATATGTATAGTCAGTATCAAACTTAAGATTTACTTATTGACAAAATGAGGAAAGAGAAAATTACAAAGTTCGGAAGTTGAATATGAAAAGCGCACAGAAACGTTGCTTTAAAATCAGCAATTATATATCCTAATCTAGCATTTTGAAAGCCTCATCACTTGCCGGTAGATACTAACCTAGACAGCAGTATTCTAGGAGTAAACTTTCCGGCACCTTTATTCCTCTTCTGCTCATTGTTATAAAATCTAGTATTGCTGATTGATTGATATTTCGTCTAAATCGGCGGTACTGAAAGGTAATGGCTTTGTGTTGTATGTACTTCAATAAGATCTGCGGACTTGAATTTCAAGGTAGAGGGTGAAGTGATAGTACTCACAGAATTCAGTAGTAGTGATAATGTATCCTCCACAAATGTGTTAACTGTTCAGTAGATATTACACTAGAATAAGTCCATAGATTGACCCTTTGAAAGCATTCATCGATTAGAGGATTGTGACTCTTAAATGACGTGTATTCACTTAGTTTTATAATTCAGAAACAGGTTTCTTTTGCTAAACTAAAGTATGTTTGAGGATTAACTCAGCGTTTCATGTCCTTGTTCACAGATCATTCTTTATACATCCGTTCTCATTGAAAGTTGGCTATCTAAGGGTCTAGTCCTAGTGTGAAAATATAAAAAAGTAAGTAAAGGTTAACGATCATTAACTTTCATTCTACCTTGTTACTTTAAAGATTCGTAAAAGTCTCAAAGCACGCAGAACACTGATTCCAAATGATGCATCTGGGTGAAAAAATCCCCAGATTATTTCAAATAAACTTCCTATAATAACCTGTAAACAGAATAGAAGAAATAAGAAAAAAAGATTTACACGAGAATAATAATATTCTCAGATTTGTAATTCATAATCGACTATGATATTTCAGTCGGTTGATAAATCCAGGCTAATTTTAGCCTCAGTGAGAAATTGTATGAATAGAGAATGATGGTAGAAACATGGAAAATCATTAATAAAGAGTGACTCTGTGGAGAATATTTGCAGCTTAGCTGGTTGATTTTGCCTGTGTTGTGTTTTATTTGGTGAATGCTCCACTTATGAAGCTTTTATTATCTTTCTAGATAATGTTATTGGCACGAAACTCAACATGAAGTGAGCTGTCAGTAGCTTGGAAAGCTACTGAATCGCTCATAGAGAAATCGTGATAATACGCTTCATACTTAAGTTAGTGCTAAAGATGTTGTCTGGAAAGTTAATGAAAACTTCATGACTAAACAACCCAGCTAAGAGAAGGCAACACAACAAATAATAACTACGTGAATGTGGCATTATGGAACGGGAATGATTACTGTAAATAATATTCTACGTGACTAAGGGACCAGTAAACCAAAAGGGCAAATAAAGTTTGGTATAAGGTGTTTGTAGACTATCAATTAAGAGTTTTACCCCTGGGTTTTAGAAACTTATTGGAAGAGCACTTGTGTAGACTAAGACAAATCCAAATATGTGTTTCCCTTTCTCACTCACTTTGCCTACCCCCGGAGATAACGATAACAATCTGTGACATCAGATGATCTCTTACATGGGCAAAATGTACTAGTCATATAGGCAAGCATGCTTACTAACATGCTAGTAATATGTAGGAGAGAATGAGTAAGTCATTTACATATTAATTTTTCCAAACTTCATCTTTAAACCATTTAGGCCAATGCATGTGTCGTAACCCATATTCTTCATGTTTGAAGTGTGTTTACAAGCATTCGCTTTTCCCCACGTTTGTAGGTCACAACAAATTATTTGGGTTAACTTTTATTTACACTACACAGATACTGGTGGACCACGACCAACTAGTTATTTTATTCATTTCCTATGAACAGAAAACAGAAATTGCTGAGACTGCTGTCTGTTTGCATTACCCTACCAAGGGTTTCAGTCGAGGTGGAATAAAGATCTGGTTGACATCTGGGTCACTTAACTCGGTTTGTAAGGGGAACCGAACCACAGCAATCTCAAATAGTTACTCTGGTATGTATGTATATATATCTATCATAGACTGACATCAGTTGGTGAATCATTTGACCCTCCAGGGATAGGACTCAAAACCTTTATGCCTCACGACGAACGCGTCAGCCATTCAGTCACTGGGTTGGAGTTCAGTTGGGCACAATTTCCTACTTCCATCATTCAGCGATGTAGCTCTACCATCATCTACGATCATCATCTGAGATCTGCTTCACTTCCGACTCCTTGACCCCAAAAGGTCACACCCTCTTATCCATCTTGAAGCATGTCACGAATGAGCATTAGACAGCGTCCTCAGGTTTTCAACACTTCTCTAAATGATTTCAGTTTGTGATTAATACTACCTTGAAATATAAAATATATATTTGAATGCTATAAGTCATAAAAAACATGTATATTATCTGATCAGCTTACCACACAGTCAAAGATATTGAAAGACGATTCAGAGTAGATTCGTATATTCAACCCATATACTTTCAATAACATTTCGATAATAAACAAACCCAGGAATACAAATTCAGCATAGTCTACAAAGGAAAGAAATAGCTGGATGAAAGTAATGAATTATGTTTTCAATTGACAAATAAGTAAACATTAGCAGTAGTGAAACGTTAGAGTCAATAAACTGAATTAAAATCTACAACGGCTACCGTTATTATATTGAAGCATTTTCGGAATTAGCGGCTTGTAGTTGAGTAACCTGAAAAAATGTGACGTTGAAATTTTGCTGAATACATATAATCCGTGTATATCATAAGTTAAAAGACACAAGGTTGTCAAAGGACTGTAGTTAGCTGAATTTAACCAGCGTCACTAATATTTTATTCAGCATATGAAATATTTATTTCACAGTAGATTTGTTTATTTGGTTTATGACACACAGTGATATAGTGTTATTTAGTAATGATGGATAGTGGCTAGCAGTGGAAGCCAGAATGCGCACTTCGTCCTATTTGGGACTCGTCAGCTAGGTGGACCTGCCTCCTAGTGAGTGATGTTGTTCCCACCGGGACTCGGACTCGGGACCAATCGCTTCGAATGCGAAAGTGTTATCCACTACACCACCGAGCCACGATAGCCACTTCTTGTGCGACGGGTATAGTTTTAGTGTTATTGCTTGTATTACACCGTCGTTGATTGGACCGAATTGATCAGTCTCTGTTGGTATACAGGAGCCTATAGTATTATTTATTTGATGACGACGTCTCGAGCATAAATTATCATTGCTCATTATCATATCAATGTAATCACACAACTTTCGACATTTGATTTGTATAGTTATATCACCTCATATGATCTGTTTTAATTGACAGTAAAATTTCCTCCATATCTCCGGTATAGGTGTTGCGTCATTTCAATTACATGTGTTGGGTGTAGATTCGATGAACCAGGATTTAGTAATCAATCTCTCAATATCCACTTATTTGTATTAAACTAAAATTCTGCATTTGCTATGTGGACGACACTTTTGTCGTCATTAAAAAAGATGACATAGAACACAACCACAATTTGATCAGCAACGTTTTTAGTGACATCAAATTCATAATGCAGAAGGAGTCAAACAACCAACTACTATTCCTGGATGTTCTGGTCGATAGAACAAGCACGGGAAGCTGGAAACCCAAGTATACAGGAAGCCAACACACTGACCAAGTCCTCAACTACAGTAAGTAGCAACAACCCACAGGGTCAGTTGCGTGTAGACTCTATTCAGAAGAGCTACAACACACTGCGGTACAACAACTTCGAAGAGAAGTGAAGAAAATTAGTTGATGTCCATCCTAAAGAAGAATGGCTACCCACAAAATTTTATCAGAAGACGCCTATCCCGTACATCATCAACTACAAAGTCATCGTCAGAAATCAATAAATGCATCATCCTACCATACATGGAGTATATATCAGAAATCACAAGATTGCCGAGACCACTTGGAATTGGTGTGGCTCATAAACTAACTAATTCCCTCCAAACACTATTATGCAGACCAAAGGATACGACAACCAAAGAAGACAAACCGAATATGATTTACAAAATCAACTGCAATAAGTGTAGTCAACACTACATTGGACAAAGTGGTAGCCATCTTCACCTTCGTTAACTTGGACACCAATTGGCTATTAAACATCACGACATTTCATTCCTCATTTCAATGCATGTGGATAAATACGAACATGAATTCAATTTCGGCAATGTAGAAATCTTGGATGGAGAGAGGAAACATAAAAAATGTCAGATAATTCCTAGGCATTCAGGTCAGTCAACAATCAACACATGTATAGACATGGACCCAACTTATCAAACAATGAGAAAAGTGATAAATGACAGGAAGGTCAGAGGTGAAGCAGAGGGACAGCCAACAGGAAAATCTATACAGTAAATGACAAACCAGTCAAAGAAAACATCCACTCATAGACCGCTTTGTCAAAGCAAGCTACCAAAACACTCACGGAGAGATATTGAAAGCTCACTTCATACTGAAGTTAGTGCTGATGATGTCGTCTAGAAGGACGATGAAAGCTTCACGATTAAACAAGGCAGCTCAGGGAACACAATACAACCAAGAGAGTGACATTGTCACAACCACCCTAGTGTGTGGTCGTATGTTAATGCATGCATTACAATAGCCTAATGTTCTCTACATCACTGATCTTATTCGGGTATGTCATTCTACATTTAGCTAAATTCCTATGTTCAAGTTATTCCAACCGACCCCGATCGGCTACTTTCACCTATGTACTTGACCTCACTCACAGTCATTATATGGAATGTGATAGATTAGATTATTTTGCCTAATTGGTTCTATCAGATCCTTAAGCCAGTCGACAAAGCTTATGTGTGAGTGAGTTTGTAGGTTTAAATGCCTCCTTAATATCAGCTCTGTTGAGGATCCTGTGTAAAGTTTCTGATGTGTCTTCACTGTAGAGTAACACAATGGTGGTTGTGAACTTCTCTCTACTCATGTTGTCGTTATCATTCGTATTAGTGTTACTGTTATCTTTTCATTTCTTATGTGTTCGTACGATTGTTTAATGAAGTGTAGATGATAATTTTTAACTATGAGTTCTTCTTTTTATGTATTTCAATTCCTTGTCTAGGTCCTTCCACTAAGCAGTCAGTTTTCTAGCTCTGTCACTTAGACATCTGACTCAGCCTGCCTTAACTGACATTGGATGTGATGACTTGAAGTTTAGAAACGTGTTGGAATGTGTCGGTTTTCTGTAGACGGTTGTATCCAAGTCACTGTCTGTCCTTCGTTTTATCCTGCAATGCAACGTAGGTAATTCTCCTTGTTCATTTTCTACCTCATACGTGGATTGGATTGCGTTTACCACTGAGTGTACATGTCTCAGGAAATTATCATTGTGTTTCGATTTCAACTCAGTAAATATTTCATCCACACGTCGCCAACATATTTTCGGTGCACGACTAAACGTCTGTAAAGCCAGCTTTTCCTAACTATCCATAAATATATCTGCAACGATCGGGGGATATTGACAATCTTATGGCTACTCCTTCTGTTTGTCTATATATTTTGCCTTGAAACTTGAAGACTGTGGAGGTGAGGCACGACTGTACGACTGATATGATCTCATCAACCGATGTCTTAGTTTCGTGAGTAAGTTCTCAGTCAATACTTAGTTGATTTCTGACTGCCTACAGTGCCATATTCATCGGTGTTTTAGTATAGAGACTTGTTACACCGAAGCTAACCGTTATTTCATCGTCTTCTGTGTGTAGGTCATCAAGCCTCAGTTTCAGTTAGTAAGAGCTTACTAGTCTGAAATTCGAGTGGTCCCTAATAGGACACAGTATCAATGCTAAGTACTTAGCTATTTCATACTTTGGTGTATTTCTAAAGTCATCTATGGGTCTAATGGGATAACCTAGTTCATGAACTTTAATTGTACTATAAATTCTGTCAGGATTTCTAGTTTTAGGCATTAAATTAAACCATTAAGTAATATTCAGTATCACTCTAAGAAGTTTTTTTAATAACTTTTAGGAATTTCGGATAATAAATGAGAATAAAATGCCTGTATTATATACTTTCCAATCGTTTAGATATCACAGTGCACCTCCTTTATTCTTTATAAGTTATCAATAGATGCAGAAAGCTTGTACAAATAAAATCAGATATCAGTCATCAGTTCACTTTATAAGTCACATGTCACACAAGTTAATAGACTTTTTCCATTTAGATTCACAAAGGATTACTGTGCTGCAATCAACTACTTACGACGATAGATAGAAACGTTTACCGACCTTAAGTTATTTCACTGTTGGAATATTGACAGCATAATAAATGTATAGTTGTGCAGAAAAAATGTAAGTTTTCTACTCACAAAGAAACGATAACTTCTAATGATCAATGACCTGTAAACCAAAAATACTCAACCTAAACTGTTCAGAGTCACTCTGCGTAAACTAATGACAAAACAAAAAAAATTTACAAGTAAGCATTCATCATGGAATGACATAAGTTGGAGGAAAGTTGAAAGCCTGGGAACACTGGACAGCTGTTTCGTCCTAGCATGAGACTTTTCAGCAGTGAGCGTCCATGACACAACCAGGGGTCAAACGCGTGATTTTCAGGTTACGCGGCTAACACATTACGACGGGTTCACTGGATCGGAATCCAGTGGTTCATATTTCCAACTCCTGTCAATTAACGACTTCTCACTGAGACTGATGTCAGTTCACGATGAACAACAAACCCCGAAATTCAATTGAACTGGTGCTCACTGATGACTAGCTTTGAAAGGTGATTCCCGAAGTTCCAGGGAGAAGTTGTGACCCGTGGGGTAAATATGGTAGCCATGAGGACAAATATTGAACGATGACATTGGGTGGTGTCACTATGTTGTGAATTGACAGAAGTTGGAAATATGAACCACTGGATTCCGATCCAGTGAATCCATCATAATGTGTTGACCGCTTAACCTGAAAATCGCAGGTTTGACCCCTGATTGTGTTGTGGATGTTCACTGCTGAAGAGTCTCATACTAGGACGAAACAGCTGTCCAGTGTTCCCAGGTTTTCAACGTTCCTCCAACTTATGTCATTCCATGATGAATAATAACTTTGAAAATCTCTAAATCTTCACAAATCTCCAAATTCAATCAAACAAAAAGAGTTCAAATCTCAAATATGAAATAATTTCTGAAGTACTTTTAAACTTAATCTAACTCTAAAGCTTCATCACAAGAAAGACGTTGACGAATCATCGAAACTTGACAAAAATTATGAATTATGAGATTATTTTGTAGCAAAAATCAGAAATTTTTGAGTTATATTAAAGTTTACTTTCTAAATACTAAAGAAAAACATATTTAATTAATAGAATGATTCTTGGGATAATTTTACATTTCATAGTCTAAAATAAGTATAGTCAATATGTTTATGACATTTATATCACTTAAGTTTATCGAATTATATATGGATACACTGAAATTTTGTCCTGGGACTGTGAATATTTTGATATTATAACACCGAATAAAAAAAGTAAGGTGAAGAGATAGTTATCAT